CAGTATTTTCATTATAAATATGCTCTCATTTGGAAAATTTTGCCTAAAAGACTGCAGACACAGCAACAAAAGGTCCACCTTGTTCCCCATTCGTGGTATTTCAGGTGTTTCTCCGCCTCACCGGTAATTCTCATTGTTGGTCTCCTGTTTGTTCTCTCTCTGAGTCTGTGTTTAGCTTGCTGTCAATCTTCCAGCAGACCTGAGGTTCATCGCTCATCATCTCCCTGGCTCTCCCCTCTACAGTCCTCCGGTTTGTTCAGGTCTCGCTCTGACAGGTTGCTGTTCTTCATGTTTTCTGACTCCTGGTTAACCTGCGTCTGCTTGCTCAGTTTGTTTGCCAGCCTGCTCGCCTTCTCATTTGCCTGCCCACATCACCACATCGCCGCTGCCATCCCTCTGCCTAGCCAATAACGCGGCTTACCCAGGCAGACACACACCAACCTTATAGCTTCCTCCTCTGCCAGCCGCAGCCACTGAACAGCGCTGCTTCGCTTCTCAACCGTCCCCAACCTGCTCATCCTTCACATCTCCTCAACTTCAGTCTCAAACTGTGTTAAGCTGTCATCTGTCTCCGAGTCTTTTGCATAAGACAGAAAGGTCGTTATATTCAGTGCTGGATCCCTCCTGAAACTGAGTATTGATTGTTTTTTGGCTGCTGAAAACTTTGACCTGATTTGCCAAAATGTCATATTGACAATAGCTTAGTTCGGTGACAGATGTTTGGTAGGCTGTATGGGCTCGCAGGGGAAAAATAAATATTGTTAGAGCATATTCAACTTTAGGGTATATCCGAAATTGGCATTGTACCTATTGCTGTGCTGTAAATTATTCAAAGCCTGTAAGCAGATAAAGCAATATATAGAAAGGATAAATCACACACTGTGTTGATGCATTATTCCCACGGCCTGGAACTGGCTTTATAATCATCAGTACAATTTAGGGTATCTGTCATTTCCTGCAGGCCACCGGAGAGCTGGGTGGGAAAACCATTTATAAGCATCAACAGCAACAAAGCAATACAAAAAGTCCAACTATACACCAACGGTGCAGCACCAAAAGTGTTTTGAACATCACCACTATCTTGTTTTTTAATACAGACTTCTTGCTTCTTCTGTGGCTGCAGCGGCTTTTACAGATGCTGCTGCTTAGCTCAGCCTCAGGCTAGATTCTGTTTCAAGGTAGACAGCTCATTAACAATAGTGACAATTGCTTCTGGGGGAACTTAAATACCTGAGGGAAAGGTGGACTGGACTATCAAGAGCTGCATATTAGAGCCGTGACAGATCCTGTGACACTTTCTCCACTTTAGAATTTGACTTAATACCTCTCCGGTTGCTTCGCTCAAACAATTTGGCTTTCTGCTGCAGGGAGCCGCTCCTGCCATTTTTAAAAATACATCTATCCCACAGACAGATACAACGTTTTTCCAAATGATTCCTTAAAAGTGGGCCAGGGATAATGTCTATATTTGCTTTTTAAGAGCCTGAAGTGAGGTGATGCCTCATGCCGTCGGGTATTTTCTGAGTCTGACAGAATGCTTTTTGAACTTCAGTGATTTCTGCTGCTGTGTGTGCATGTGCACGATTATGTCGACATGCGTGTGTGTTTATGCATTTGTGTGAGCCAAGATGCCTTCTACACACACACACACACACACAGACACATACACACAGAGACACACACAGTCACTCCCACACACAGACACACAAACACAAGGTGTAAAACTCCCATGTTTGCCCAGCGGATTCCCGCTGATAGAGCAGAACAATTCCCACAACCCGCAGAGAGGGACAGCCTGCGTGGGCGGCGGGCTGTCAGTCAAATCCACATGTACAAGTGCAAGTGATGCATGAAGGGAGTTTGAGATTTCACTGTCATCTCCAGTCTGGTCCCCTGCAGATCTACCCCCCTTCTGCCTCCATTTCTGCTCCAATGCTCTGCTGGCCACAAAGTCTGTAAAAATCTATGCCGCGACTGAAACTGACTACAAATCATTTTAAATAAAGTGGTGTGGAGTTGTAGCTTGGGTCCCTGTTTATTTGTTCGAGCTAATACTGAGCAGTGCTGTAAGCTGCGTGTTGAACGGGTGCAACATGTTTTACTATGTGGCCAGTGTGAAGAAGAGAAAAAAAAGGAGAAAATGCTCATTGTACTGCACCACAATCTGTCTTGTGTATTTGTTTCTCAGAACATAGTATTTCAACATTGCATTTCACATTATTTGTGCTTTGGGCTGCCTTTGTTTGGTGCTGCAGTACCGCCGCCTGCCGCTGGGTGCCGCTGATGCTTCCTGGACATGTTCGCTGTCCGTGGTGCTGAAATGCTTCCCAGCAGGGCTGATCACAAAAACACTGTCTACATCCTAACAAAAGTCTAACTAAAGAATTACAAGTCAGTCCACGCTTTTTATCACACCCAGTTAGCGTTACACCTCCACGTGGAAGAGTCAGCCATAGCTCTAAACCATAGGCAGCACAGGAGGAAAAAAAAGTACCTTATGGTAAAGTGTTTTACTCATGGAGGCAGGAATAAAGAAAGTTGAGGTCTCTGAGCGCCGCTTGAGTGCTTCTCCTGTCACAACTGAGACTCAAACTTAAGAGCCGTAAATGGCGCCATGCAGAGGCGAATGCGACAGCCGAGGCTCCCGACCACTCCGGTCCGTCCGTCACCGTGTCGCTGGACCGGCGTCAAGGCAGACATGAGAAGCTGCGGTGAGACAGGAAGTAACGAGAATCTGCTCCCAAATAAAAGGACAAAAAAAGAACTGCCATTAAAGTCCTGATTGGAACATTATTTGCCATTGAAATCAATTAGAAAAAACCTTTTAGCTTCTCTTTATTATGCAGGCTGTAGTTTTCAATATTGGTTTGTCTCATGCACAAAACCCCTTCTGTAGCCGAGTTCCTACTTTGAATTTACAGTGAAGGGAAATTATAGGAACATAGTTTGACATTTACAGACATTAATGTTTAAATATTTATTTATTCTTCTTTACTTTGGGAAAAAAAAACTATTCCTGGATTATATAATAGGTTACAGAAGCTAATGCTAATAGTGGTTTATAGAAAGACAAACAAACAAACAAAAAAAATTGTCTGACTGGGCAGATTTTAAGTTGCGAGGGTTATAGACATTTAAAAAAACATCACATTCCCAAATTTTCTTTTTTTGTTGCTTATCTGTTTTTTTGTGTTGTTTTCTGTTATTAAAAATAATATATTTTTAAAAAAGAAAAAAATAAGCATAATTAAAATAATGATCTCTGCTATTAACAATTTCACTCGCACAAAAAACATCCCATACACAATTTTTTCTGTTTCATTGCTTATTTGTTTGTGTTTCTGTGCCGTTTCCCAGTATTATTAGAACTCCTCCAGGCTCAGCAGGGCTATTATTTTGAAAAGACTACCCGGATGTTCATCTGTTTCTCCACTCTAACTTGACGGTGGAGAAGTGAACGAGTTGACTGCCTGACTGGCCACACTCGCTCCGGCTTCGCTGCGAAGTTAAACCGAAGCTGCTTCTCCTCTTTTTGTGCAATCCTCCGGAGAGAAAGCGCAGATATTCAACACTTCTAACCAACACATTTTCCCCACAACGCATTATTTTCCTTTATTTTATTTTATTTATTTATTTTTTTAAGGAGGGGAGAGACTCCACATCGGATATGACTCCGGCAGTCGACACAACCGGCGGCGACTTCTTTTTCTCCTCCTCCTCCTCCTCTTCTTCTCCCCCCGACTCCCTGTTTTCTCCTGGAATAACGCTTTAAATGACATTTTGGCACACGGACGAGGAGACTTGCTGAATGAAACTTTCTGCCGTTTCTCCCGGATGAGCCGAGAAGCGCTGATGGGAAACGTTTTCATCCACAATAAGCGAGTTGATTGCGGCTGGATCCTCTGGATGGGACGCAGATAGAAAAAAATAAAAATAATACAAATAAAAAAATGTTTGGCCACGTCAAGTTCCAGGTCGGGAGGTTAGCAGCAATGTCAGGGGTCGCTCGTTTTGGAAAATGATTACTGGCAGCACCGACGGTAAAATAATGGTCAGAAGATGTCTAGTAACGTTCAAACCGTTCAGGTAAGAGACAAAGAGCTGTGCACAGTTTCATCCTTTTAGCCTCCAGCACTGTCTCTGTTGTGATTGCACATATGTTTCCTTCACACACACACACACACACACACACACACGTCCCAAAACTGAGTTGCAAAGCGTTGACAAAATCCACTAATAGGGCAACGTGTAAATAATGTGGAGCCAAGGTGTGTGTGTGGGTGTGTGTGTGTGTGTGTGTGCGCACATGTGCTGTCACTCATCCAAACACCCACACAGCAGATGCTTCCCTCGCTCTTCCAGATGAATTAGATCCAGATCCATATGGATAAAGAGGCAACACGCAGCTGTAAATCTCGCTGCTGTAAATAAAAAAAAAAATCCTCCACTACCAGCCAGAGGAGCTGCAACTTGAGCTCCCCCGGCTTGCGGCTCCATGATGCTTTGTTTGAGGACACAAATGAGGGAACTGGCAGGGATTTCCTCACGCATGTTAACCACATGAGGAGTTGATACCTCACAGTCACACATTGCATATCAGTGCTCTGCTATCCTGCTTTATGCTTTGTGCGCTGATACACAAAGGCCAAGAGGAATTGCAGGATTTAAATCCTTAATGCATGTTTTCTAGCTGGAGGTTGTCCACAGCTGGTTGCCACACAACTCACATTGTAGCTGATTTCCACCTGCTGTTGGATGGTGTGATGGAGTAACAGTGCAAAAGCGTTGTTAGGTTCATACCTGCACCTGCTGGCTACTCGGTAATGTAGTCGATTAAGCAAAAAAAAAAAAGCTGCAAAAGCATCCAGATATTAAGAGGCTGTGACAATGTGAATAAAACCAGATTACCGGCTGAGGTTTCATGGCAATTTTTGACTTTGTTGGATAGTTTTTTGTCCAATAATAATACTAAAAGGAGAGATCAAGTTGCCAGGCCAGATGCAATGTGGTAGCATTAAACACGATGAGCCAAAAAAACCCAACTTGTCATGATGTAATTAGTTAAAAAAGTTAACATCCCCAGATCTGAACCTTCTCCGCACTTTTAGGCTACTTTTAGTTGCCAGTAAAAGTTTCTTGGAAAACACCACAGCTAACACCTACAACCGCGGCTCCGTCACGGCTGGCAGAACCGCTCTCTCCTCAAGATCATCTACCTAGAGGCAAAATCTGATAAGTCTATATGCGCGAGGAAGCCAGTTAGCTGATAGCACATCTCTCCCTCTGATCCAATTATAAGGAGCAGAGCATTTACTTTAAGCCTGTTAATTAAAGACTCGTCAGGCAGGACCGCGGCCTAATCCTCTCATATCACCCACCTAACGCCACTTTGGAGAAACGGCTAAATGATAAGAGTGGAAGCGATTGCCCTAGGACAGCGTCGGATCAGTTTCTGCACACCCACACGAGCTGAACGTCTTTGCCTTTTTTTTTTTTTTTCCCGTCAGGCTCTGCTTCTCGCAAACATTCACGCCTTTGTCCACAGACACGCAGAAATTCTTTGATTACCGAAAGGAATCAATAAAAAAAAACTTTATGGTTGGCTGTAAAATCAACCAATTTCCCCCACGTGCCCTCTGTGTGACCCTTTTTATTCTTCCAACCCGGCCACTGAGCCTCTTGTGTTGTTCTTGCTGTGATAACACAAAGGCAATGAAAAGCAAGTAAGTGCACAACTTGTCCTAGATCAGGTCAGTGGTTTTAATTTGGAGCGTTCCCCTTCCCTTGGCTTGTTGACCAGATGGTAGAACAGTAAGCGTATCCTCCACCGCAAGCTGAAAGTATCTCGTACTGATGTCATGTAATCCCCTTGATCATAATGATTATATGTGACTGGATTCACATCAGTTGCTGTATTGCTGCGCTCTGGTCCTCTGACAATGATTGAGCCATTCTAATACATTCCACAATATGCCTGGAACAGATGGGGAGAATATTTTATTATTTCATAATACTACAGTTTCCTGGGGGAGACAGAGAGGTAAATGAGACGGCATAGAGAACGAGCATATGTGCGGGAGATGCTGGAGCTTTGCCATAAATCACGTTTTCCCACGTTTTTAGTCTAAATCGGCGAGGAACTGCGACGCACAGGAGCGGTCATTGGCATCGATGCTGATGGCCGCAGTGATAATCACATTAACGTGTTGTTCTACAGAAAATTGAGTTAGGAAGACTTGGGAAGCCTAATTTCCACATCCTCTTATGCACAAATTACTACCTTGGAATGTAATCTCACCACTTTGCTTACGAGATGTATAGAAAACGAAGATAAATGACCAATTTGACTGTGATGCCAGTGCAGCTGCTTTGATTTTTTGCAAGCCGTAATTGTGTTTGATGCCCCACATTAGACGGAAGCCTTGATTATGATCATTCAATGTCAATATGTTGGAGAGAATAAAAAGTTTCCTCTCAAAGGAGTCACATCCTTGTTGGCTGTCCTTGAATCCACCTGAGTGTATTACAGGACAAGACACGCCGGCTCCGTCTTGGAATACAAACTGGCCCTTGGGGACTTGCCAAACCGCCAAAGCTCTATACTTAACAGATTATTCAACATCATCTTCATCCATTTGGGTCAATCAGATCAGTTCAGCAAATGTGCTTTTAAGTGGCCATTCTTCCTCGCTGTTGATGGGAACTCATTTCTTACGGCTGCATAAATATTAAGGGGGTTTAATTCCGGGGTTTTGCGTGACAGGAGCTACTTGCAATTCCAGGAATTACTGTCAGATTTCACACTGGGCCACGCGTTCAAGCAAACAGCTCCTGCCTGGCTTTAGAGGGGAAGCAATGGGCATGAATAATTCATTCATTTGTTATGTTAAGATTTAATTTTCCGACCTTGAGTGCAGAAGTTAAAGTTACCTGAGCAAGACTGGCCCGGAATTAAATTTTAGCCGTGATAATTAGATCACAGCTGACTTGTTTTTTTTCTTCTTTCTCCTACGACACACGTTGCTCGTTATATGCTGGATATGATCTGCGCCACTTGACCTTCATATTTTTGAAAAATTACAGCGTGTTTACATAAATATATACGATTGAGAAAAATCTGGGAAAATGGCTCCAGCAGCTAAAATAAGCGCCGCGGTGTTACTTGTTTACTGTCACGTAAATCCGCCTTTGTGCTGCACTATTTATTCAAAGTCTTCCAAGAATATTCCCTTGTGGGGGTTAGCAGTGGAGCAGAAAGCATTTTAAAAGTAGGTCTTGACTTGCTAGTTGTGGAGGCTGACTGGTATTTTGTCCACTGGATGAGAATCCCAGCTTTTTTCCCCTCAAGTGTTTCCCCCCAAAGTGTCTCGGCATAATAAGATAACCTGTGATCCATATACACTGAAGAGAGGAACTTAAGTAGGGCAGGATTTACACAGACACAAAAGACCCGATTTTCAACTCTTTTAAGTCAAATATTTGACTCTCTCATGGCTGTCGAACAAAGCGGGGGGAATCGTCACAGATTTTTTATTCTCCCCCTCTGCGGTATGGTAGCATTTCAAATACCAGATCTGTCCCACGAAACAGAAGTTTATGCCTTAAATCCAGGCCCGTACTTTAGATCTGAGGCTGCATTCGGAGCGCATCTCAAAGCATAATCACCTGAGAGCGGCTAAATGCTTTGTCATCCACCGGAACATTTTCCATACGCTGAAGCGGTGACCTGGAAAGTGCATTTAATAACTCAGGATGACACAGTATACAACAGCCCACACGCTGAAGACTGTATCATCGCTGACCCAGTTAGTTCAGGACAGAGGGGTGACTAAGAAGAGTTTGTTTTTAAGGACGTTGTAGTACGATCTCTTACTAAACACCTTCATGCTTCCTCACAGCTGCCTTCCCTCCTCTCTCATGCCTTCCTTCCTTCCTTCCCCTCTCGTATTACATAAATAATCACATCCATTTCGCCTGCACTTAGGGACAAACTGCTCACGCTTACTTTGGCAGCTGTCCTAGATGTATGCCAAGTGACAACATCCCAACACTGGTTTGTCTCGAGTGCCCTTTGACTTGAAGATTCTCCTTTTCTACGTCTGATCCCTGCTCTATTTATGCCTCCTAGAATTGCTGCTTGATTTGACTCTCCTCCTCACATTTTTTTTTTTGCATCCTCTTATTTTTACTTCCTCTTTTATTTTCTCTCCGTCAATCTTTTTATCTGGCATCTCCGTAATTGTTCACATGTTCGTCTACATGCACTTCTCTTTGTTTCTCTCCCTTGTTTCCCTCTTCGTCTTCACATATTCCAGCTACTCCCCCAAAACATCCATTTACCTGCCCTTCCCCATGAATATGTCCTTCTGTCTCAACTCGTCTTCCTCTCTCCTCCCCCCCTGTGTTGCAGGATATTCGTGGTGGGAATCGGCTTCTTCAGCCTATGCTTTCTAATGACCTCTCTGGGGGGGCAGTTCTCAGCCAAGAGACTGGGGGACTCCCCTTTCACCATCCGCACAGAAGGTACTGACATGTGCTGTGTGTGTGCCGTTGTGTTTGTGTGTAAACAGTCCCTTCGCCGAGCTAAAACGCTGTAGTGTCACCGCATATTGCAAAGGCTGTAATTCTCCGTGGGTTCCTGCTGGCGCTTCACTGTCATGTGCCACTTTGTCAAAGCTGCACCACCTGTCACTGCAAAGCACATATGAAATGGCCCCCTATATCAGGATAAGGCAAAGAAATCATCAAGTAAATGCCACCTCAGAGCCAGAACCAGTGAATTTATAAAACATTACATTCATATACCCTACAGCAGAAAAGCTGCTTTTCTTTTTTTTTTTTTTTTTTAGAGTTGAGTTCAAGTTCAGTGCATGGTTGGTGAGTGTTGCCACAAGGTCTGAGAAGTTAGAATTTATCAAGCTGTGGAGCTGCCATCAGGTGAGAGTTGATCATTTCTGATTGGCTAACGAAGCCTAATGAGTCAGTTTAAGACCAATTGAATCAGTTGAGAATTAATCGAACCTTTTGCACATGCTACAGTCACAATGCTATTTTTTTCCTTTAAGCTGATGAACAATCAATTAACAACTGAGGTTCATTTTTAATGTATGTTTGCTGCGATGGTTGTATTTTAATCGTCTACATCAAAAATCCATAAAACATGTAATTTGCTCATTTTTTTTCCAATTGACCCAGACATGCAGGATATTCCTGTTAGATCCCAGTAAAAAAAAAAAGTATGTGAACCCTTTGGAACGACCTGGTTTGACTGAATAATTCTACTAATCGAAGTCTGTAATTTGTGTCCATGCAACCATGCATATGTGTACAGTATGACGCCTTTAAGCCTTTAGCCGCTACTCTGGGATTCATTTTTACCTCACTGGGCGTTCTATGTTGGCTCCATCCTAGCTGGTCTTCTGGGTAGACGATCCACATGTATCAACAATTTGTCCATAGACTGATGCAGAGATTACGACTTTAATTGTTTCCAACTTAACACCAACAGTTGTTGATAGCAGGTCTTCTTAGATATCTTGCTTCACATCAGCAGGTTCTTCCTGTGAATAGCAAACCCACAATGTTTTTTTTTTCATAAGTCAAAGTTGCTCCAACACCTCCTATCTCATTTTATTGATCGGACTTCTTTGCTAACTCCTCGGTTTTTGTTGATGTCATTAGCCGACGGGGTTCGCTTACTTTTTCCAACCTACACCTCAATTTTTGCTTTAAATAAATATACAAGCAAGAATAATACAATATTTCAAGTGGTGCCTGACAAATGGACAATACAATCCGGGTGATTTCTAAGGGATCACTTATTTTTTTTTGCTCCACTGTAAACCTCAGCCTGCTATTTTTTTTCCCACAGACATAACTGTTAGATAAATATGACCCGAAAAACCATAAATTCCCACATGGCTGCACCCTGCACATTGGTTGCATGGACAGCGAAAGCCTCTGTCCAGCAAAGCCATATCTCACCAGTGAAATCTCATTAATACAGTGGCGAAGCCAGCGATGTCACATGACCCGGAGAGTAGGCTGACCGCCAATGGCGAGGGAGGGAAAAAAAAACAGTGCCATTGTAATCTCCTGCTGTACAAGGTGTGAAGATTGAAAGTCAGAGGTCATTTTTGCGGAGGCCAACCTCCCACTACGGCTGGAGCTAAAATAAGAAATCCCGTGCTCTGAGGGCTTTTCCTCATGTGTGTGGCATGCGTGTTGTAGCTGAAGCTCGCCTGCGTGGGTGTGAGAGCGAGCGAAAAGACGGGGCAAGTGTTGAATCACTCAGGTGTCGGTGTGCGACGATGTAGTCTGTCAGGGAGAAAGATGAACCTGTGAAAATGGAAGCCGGTCTTAAATGAACGCAGCAGCTCCGGAGCGGCGTGCGTGAGAGAGATAATGGGACGGGTGGCGGGTGGGGGGTCATTTGGGATTACTGTGTTTGTGATAAATTGAGATTACTGTGTTTGTGTGATAAATTAGGATTAGTGAGTATGTGTCAGTGTTTCTTAGTAAAATGTACTTGATTAATCAACCACTCCTTCGCTGCAGCCTCGGAAGACATCTGGAGCAAGCTCATTAAAAACTTCATAGTGTCCAACCGTGCGTACCCATAGGAGTTAACTGTGTGTGTGTGTGTGTTTGTTTGCATCCCTTAAACATCTCTGTGCACAAAGGACGCCCGCATCTCTATCATCTAGTTCGCCAGGCTGCCATTGTTTGTGTGCATGCCCCACTGTTTCACCCTCTTTCCTCCCTTTATGCGTGTCTCTGTGGTCTACTACCTCACACTGTTTTTGCTGCTGGCTCCCTTTGTGTGCGGCTGCGCGTGTGTTTATGTGTGCTTGTGATGAGCTGGCAGGAAATTGGCTGTTAAATGGGGCGACAGCAGCAATGTGGGACAAGATTGAAACCAGAGAGACTGAGAGACCGATCCATCTGCTCTCTCTGCAAAATCAGCCCCGCAAAACAACTGGCCCTTTCATTAAGCCTCCACTCGCCACCTGCAGAGCTGCTCACACACACACACACACACACAGAGTACATGTACCCACACTGACTAAAGACACACTTCCACTCTCTTGTTTCATCGAGTACATGGCATTTCTGGCAGACCTTCCGTGTGAAAGCGAGCAACACTGCCAGATTAAAAATTGTGCTTAATTTTATTTGGCTCTGGTCTTACCGAACAGACTAGCTACTTTATTTTGGAGTAACTTTAGTTGTGGCCTTTTTTATTGGCAGGTACAACATTTCACTTTGCTAATAAACTGCAATTTAAAAAAAAGAGAACACTCTTCCTCGGGCAGGATTACGCTTTGACATAACCATGTTTGTGATCGTTTGATAGCTGCCAAGAAATGTTGAAACCGCCAGACCTACATGTTCACTTGGTATTTACTGAACTATCCAATCATCATAACAACTTCTAAAAGTGAACATTCAAGCTGGCAATTGATGGCTTTGGCACCTGTAAAACAACTGAATAAATTTCAGTGAGTTAGCGAAACAAGTTTTGACCAGTGATGGTTTGCAACAAGCATCTCTTTGCTTCTGGTTTCAGACTGACAGCTGCACCTAGTTTGGCAGCTGTTGAGCACAAACCGATGATTAGAGTTGTCTCAACAGCCAAGTTAAACTTTTCCCGCATATCATATTATTGTTTAAAGCTTGTAGCCTCACAAGCTTTAAACTGAGACTTCCAAAACTCAGGGCCGAGGCGGTCTGTCAGTCTGTGAAGCTAATGTTATCATTAGCAGAAGCAACTACAGTGCCGAGCTGTCAGCAGGCGCATTAGGTGGTGTCAGGCTAATATCGAAGCGCTGAGTGACCATTATGGGCCTTTTCCACTCGTATGTATTTTCATCTCGGCACTTGGATGTCACAAAACCTTTTAGAGCTCAACAAAGATGAAACTGAAATTTTAGTTATAGGTTTAAAGGCCCGTAGAGAGAAAGCGGCCACAGAATGAAGTGTATTTTACTTGTCTTTGAAGCACTTAATTTCTTGAAGTCTCACACCAGCCTACGTCCCTGACACGCTTCCAATCTATGAACCATTATGGCTTCTCGGATCCTGTGGCAGGAGTCTTAGTCACGCTAAATGCAAGACAAAAACTTGAAGTAGCTCTGCTCTGAGCTGAATGTGTTGATGTGGTTGAACACCAATGTAAACCCTACCTTTCCAGCCTTTTTATTAATTAGAATGCTTTCTAGCTGTTATTTAGCGTATTGAATTCAAGTTTTATTGTCTGATACACCAGTGAGCCACAACATTAAAACCACCAGCCAAGCATTGTGTTAAGTCTCCCTCCCTAACCGGCTCTGACTCATCAGAGACAGGACCTCTGGTGTGTCCTGTGGTGTCTGGCACCAGGACATTGGCAGCAGATCCTTTGGCTCCCGTGGGTTGCAGAGTGGGGCTTCCATGGATTAGACTCGTTCCAGCACATCCCACGGATGCTCAATTAAATTAGGGAGTTTGGAGGCCAGGTCAGAGCCTTGGGCTCTGCGTTGTGGTGTGGAAGGGTGCGTTTTCCTGCTGGGGGAAGTCTCTGATGTTGGGGAGTGACGCTGCCATGAGGGGGTGAACTTGGCCCGCAATGATGTTTTGGGAAGTGGCGTGGTGTGTTTGTAATGATGTGCAGCTTAATTTTGGTCTCATCAGATCAAAGAACCTTCTTCAAGTTGACTTCAGAGTCTCCCACATGCCTTCTGGCGAACTTGAGATTTAAAATGAGCCTTTCTGAACAGTGGCTTTCTTTTTGGGACTCTCCCATAAAGCTTTGACTGGGGAAGAACAGGCAACGATAGGTATACACTACTTCTTCCATCTCAGCCGCTGAAGCTCGTGACTCCTTTAGAGAAGCCATAGGTGTCTTGGTGGTCTTTCACACTAGTCTCCTTCTTGCACGGTCAGTCAGTTTTTAAGACAGCCTGTTTTAGTCAGACTTTAGTCTCATAGTCCCTCTATTTCTTAATGATGGATTGAACTTTACTGCAATGGATGTTCCTGACTTGAGCTTTTCCTCAACCATCTTATTATCTTATTATTAGCTTACCCATCACCTGTAAAGAGCTAGTGACTTGTGCTAACCTGTTTCACTTTGCGCCAGTGAAAATTAAACGTTTTAGCGAATAATGTCAAGTATGTCACAATGTCTGACTTCGCAGCTGTCTACTACGGTGGCTCATCATCCACAATGAGTTGACTACAAATCCATCAAGAACACAAGAAGTTGCTTTCCTCTATATAAATCACATTCACCGGATTTCATCTCGCATTGTGCCACAGTCATTTTTACACAGATATTAGCTTGCTGTTTGCACACAATAACAGCAAAATTTGTGTAAGGCTTTGTCACCTTAGCGGGAGCGCCACTGATAGCAATTGTTTGGGTATTAGCTGAATTCCGTCGCCACCTCTCGCTTCTGTGGATTATCGGCTCTCCGCTGGAGGTTCAGAGTGCCGGGTTCTCGCTCAAATCCCCCGTCTCTCCTCGGTGACTCATCAAGAGG